TATTAAAAACTAAAATACAATATATTAGTTGAAATAAATTCGAATAAAGTAACAAGGTTCATCTTTGAATTCGTATGTAGGATTCGACATTTTAAAAAGCTCGCATTCTGTGCGAAATGAATGGTTGGAGGACATTAGTTTTGCTTACAAAAAGCACACCTTTAGGGCACGAGGGAAGGCGGTCCCGCGCGAGCGGCAGGTCTGAAGGCCGGCGACGTGATAATCTGGTGCAACGGACAACGACTTACCGATCTTCCGTTCGAACGAGCCATTGAAGTGATGCGCAGCTCGGCGATCCTCGACCTCGTGGTGCAACGACCCACGTCTCCCAATCACTTTTACGACTGTCCCGAGCCATTGTGGACCCGCGGCTCCAGCGGCTACGACTCTGAGACGTCCAGCGTGGCAGCCGCGAGCCCGCCGCCGCAGCATCAAAACAACCCGTCGTCCTCGCCACAGCATCATCACCACGACGGCAGAATGCATCAGCGATATCCGCGCGATGATGCTTGCAATAGAAACGGCAGGTCAGTTTTAATGTAGCTTCGATTAAAGAACTCCCTACAAAAAAACGTTGCAATACTTGCAATCATCGTTTTTATGAAAAGTGATATTTTAATAAGGAAAATATTGCTTATGTGGTGGCTACATGGTTTCCATGGTTCTAATTAGAAAAATGTTGGATGCAATGTTTTCTCAGGGAGCCCATCAATTATTTTATCAAAAGATCGTTTCTGATTAATTAATTTATTAGAAATTTCGAATGAGTCGTTAAACTCATTTTTAATCAAACAAGCATTAAGTTATTTCTAAAACGCTATTGAGTGTGATACAGTATTGCTATTGATATAAAGTTTTATAAAAAGAGGAAATAGGGTACTCCTAATTAATGTAACACAAGATTTGCATATATTTCACAGTCCTAATGACATAATATTTATATAATCTTTTGTATAAACACAAATCTAATTATTAACTTAAAAAGGAAAGAAATAATAAATACATTATCAAGTTAAATCTTGCTGATCATTGAAAGCGTAGCTTAATTAACGTTCAATGATTTCGCTTATTTGCACATCAAACTTAGCGTTAGTAGGATTAATACGGCCATCGCGTAATTTTTCAGAGCGATGTACCGATTGCAATAACGGATTGCCTATGGTACGCGCTATGCACATATCTTTTCCAGTGGTGGCTAACCGTTATCGAGTGGCATCAATGAATTTACACTGGGAGAAAGTCGGTCCATTAATAGGACACGCGGCGATAACGATCATAGAGTCCGCCGCAGTTTGAATTCCTTACCGCCACGTATATTAACATTCATCCTGTTCCTTGTTTTCCCCGGTGTTCCTTGATGGTAAAAACGCGCGTCCTATGAATTCCACTCTTTAGAAATCGGTACGGACTCGCTTGCATAATCGAACAGATCCCGCTTTATTTCCGTGTGTGACGTTATAGGATATGCTGCCCCCTCGCCCTGTCGACCACCAGCTGCAGTTCTTCGGAGTGGGCACACGTGGATCAGGTAAAGAATTTTAAAATAGAATATCTTGTTTCGTACATTAATGCGCAATATAAAACTCCAAGAGTTTATTTCTTGTTGCACTAAGCAATTTTTTTCGAGAAGAAAACAGATATAAATTAAATTTTGCTTTATTAGGCTTTGAAAATTTTGACTCATGAATTTAAAATTTTTCATATACCTTTTTTACTTTGGTTTGTTTTACTGCTTATCGTTTTGATATACTATATTACCTATTGGTAGCGCGTTCTACGCGATAAAAAACAGTGCAGTAGCTTATCAGCTTTTACCGTTATGCATCGACACGTATATTATTTCTAGAAAAGCAGGGTATGTACAATGAATACTTGAAAATTTATGTTTATTTACATTAACTGTAAAATTTCTATTGAATTAATTACTTTTAATTAATAATTACCATTAATTGTATAAAATTCACATTGATTATATTTTTTTATAAATTAAATTCTACTTATCATATAAAAAATAATAATCGTTGAATTATAATAATCACTAGAATAATTACATTAATTGTATAAAATTCTACTAATTATATTCTTTATAAAATTTTTTATTAAACTCTATCATGTAATAATCGTTGAATTATATAATAATTAGTAGAAAAATCTTCTTTTAAAGTAAAATAAAATACTTAATTTTCCCCGGCTTTTGCATTTATCTGTTTAATATTCGTACATTAATTATAAAATATTTTAATATAATAATGTGTGTGCCTGCGCGCGCGCGCGCGTGTGTGTGCGTGTGTGTATGATTCTGAGTTATTCACTTATTTTACATATTTCGAATTTCAAAGTATAAAGCCTGATCTACAATTGCGTAAACGTAAGTGGTCATAGTTATAACAATTCACCAATCGCAGTCGGATATTCTCCTCGTATTCAAGTGTGATTGTTCAATTCTTACAACTACAATTACGTTTGCGCAAGAGATCGGACTTAAGATCGCTTAAAAGGCAGAAATGCAACGCCTCTTTCTCATGAGGATTTAATTTGATCATTTTCTAGGCGCCGGAATGGTCGCGTAAACCGAATAACACAACCGTGATTCGTGTTAATCAGAGCTCGAACCAGAACCAGAATCACCGGCCTATACTGGGCGGGCAGTATCATTTCAATCCGCGTGGCAATTACGATGATGACATCGACAACGAGCCACTTTACGACCCCGTGGCGCCCAGGATTGACTATGAGGTGCATGATTTCGACGCGAATCCACGAGACGAGGCTAATCGGCGGCTGGCCTATCGGCGAGATAACGCGAGGCAGCAAGACGTGATTTATGACGGGCCTGCGGACGACTTACCCATGTATCATGGCTCCAAAGTAAGGAGATCTGTTTTCGTTATCATGCCATTTTTCATCTTGAAATGTTGTCTCGTTAAGTAATCGGATAATTAAATATACGAGCAAGATATGTTATGTGCCGCGAATAATTTTCTGCGTCAGGAGAACGACCAAGCGGTCGGCAATCGATTGACGGATCTGCAACTCATGCAGCGACAGAGCGAAGCCGAGAGGAAGACGATAACGACCGTAGAGGTGCATCAGTCGGTTTGTCCACCTGCACCTCCGCCGCCACTTCCTTACAAATGGCCAGCAGGTTTGACGGCTTTTCCCGCAGCATCGTTAGAATAATAACTGACCGCATTTACTCGAGCGCCAAGTCGAAGGAAGTCCCCTTTCCGCTGTCCATTCATTTGAAAACATAAATATTTCAAGTTCTTCACTTTTTTTAATAAATAAAATACATATCCCCTCACTAAAAGAATTAAAAATATTTTCACGCTGTTCTTTCTTAGATTAATAGAGACATAATTTGATTTAAAGCTTGTACATAATAAATTAAATTAAATTAAATTAATAATGTGATTTAAGGCTCAAATAGATTATAAATTAATTAAAGAGCTGAAAATATTGTTTTTATACATG